AAGTGTATACAAATTGTGGACAGACTGTTTTCTCCCATTGTCCGTCATATCTTACGCCTCAAGTGCAGTCAACAAGTTGCCGGTAATTATATTTGGCATTCGCGTAGACAATTACGGAATTAAACTAGACTGAAGAGCACTTTGGAAGATGTTGGCCTTTGTACTATTAACTAACAGCCATTAACATAAAAGATAGATTTGGATGCTATCGACCTTCAAACTGCAACTGCTCAAGCAGCCTCCATCCTTCGGCTAGCCCTTCAGATAAATGCGACGACGATAAAGTTAGGCATGAAGGCTTGCCTTGAAGTAATCTAGCATTTTAAACCGTCGCTTGTTTAATATCAAGAGTACGGCCTTACCCAATGGCGATAATCGAATTGATGGCTCGAGCCAAAGATAAAAACTGAAAAAAATGTTATTTTTCAGAAAAGCAAAAATCATCTGGCCTGCAAGTTGTCGAATGCTGAATAAAGGCGCGTTCTTAAGGCTGAATACGTTTATGAATAAACGCAATTTACGGCATAGAACAAAAATGCTTTACCTTTAAAAAACACTGTACCGTAGTCCTTTATACTCTACGAACAAACAAAACGTAAGTGTGCTTTGTTAGAATTTCCAAGCTTTTGCCCATTTTTTTCCGTTTACATGCTTAGATTCTATGTTATGCTGAAGGAATGATTGATCGCTTTAATAATCCAATGGTAGATAAGATTTTGAAATAAGAACGTGACCGACTACCCAAAAGGGGAATTTAGAGTGAAAAACATTTGATAAAATAACACAAAATTTGTTTTACTTTAACCATCTACCGTAACAGTTAACAACCTTTACTGTTCGAGAAAGATGCTTGAGTTATAAAATCGGTCAACTTATATTTTTGAAACAGCTAGTATTTAAAACGATGCCGAAAGTAAAAGACTGATGTGGACAAAACTCGACCCGTAGTTGTACCGGTTCGTACCTAAATATCGATATTTTCTACCTGTTTACCTTAACTTTCAAATTAAGATATTTCTTAAAAGCATTTACTTAAATAATGAACAGTTAAGCATTCATGCTTATTCGTATGAATTTGAAAATAGGCATCCCAGGAAATATAATTTGATAGAAAGGATTCTTTGGGAAGCAGGAACAATCTTTATTATACATTTTCGACCCTGGCACAACAGGTCGTCTTCGATTTTATTATTGGATTCAATGTATACGAATCTGAAAAAAGTCTGGAAAAAGAGGCAACCACCAAAACATGCTATTGACCATAGATGACGAAGCATTATCGACTTTCTGCACGTTTAAAAATGCGTACTACTCTTCACACAATTTCCTCAGGTCCGAAGACGACTTGATGTGCCAGGGTCGAACATTTACAATAAAGTTTGTTCCTGTTTCCCAAAGAATCGTTTCTATCAAATTCATTCTTATGCAGTTGTCTGTTTTAGTCGTGGTTTTTAAATCACTCAAACATGTCAACTTATTGCCGAGAAAAATGAAAGTCCACAACAAAATTTGCTAATGAATACACCTAAAACTAATTAGAAAAACCTCATATAATAAATTTCACTTTGCGAAAGCGATTTACTCAGATATTTCGTAGACAAATATCTGCGTACTTTACTTTTTTTAAGTTGAATTCGTGATCACAGTTTTTACACTTCCCCGAAAAGTTATGGATAAATATCTTACTGAAAATGAAATAATTTACTTTTATATGTATACCGAAGCAGTTTTCAGAACACCTTTTGCTTCTACGCCCTGTTCGTTGAGTGCAAAAGCACAACAGATGGACAAAATATAAGCTATGATATTTCTTAAATTGATAATATTCTGAATGTTCCGTTTTAAGTTTTGATAATAATTTATTCTCTTCTATTAGAATGTTTGAACGGTGTTCGTTTACGGCTCTACAGAGAAAAAACATGACATTTGGCGACACTTCATATATACGCTTGATTACGACCACTATTTAGTGCATGTTTAAACCAACTGGATTCCCATAATTTTATTTCTTACTTTTATGGCACGAAACGTAACAGATTGACAAAAAATAATTTCATAAACTGACTCCGCTCTTCATTTCCCGATAATAATGTTTTTACCTCATTTGTACACTTACCTGAATTTCATGAACACAAAACGCAATTTCCTGTTCTGCGAAGGGATATAATCAGACCATTTCTGGTCTTTCTTAAACTTTTATAATAAAACACGCACAAAAGAAAAGCTTTTTCCATATTTTTTAATAGCGTAATATATTTTTTATATAGCAAAAAGCGTTGGGTTAAGCCCAATTCAGTATACTGATCTGAAACCTCTTCCAGTCAATTCAATGAACAAAATAAACAACATTCAATGTGCGTTAAGCCCCCACTAAAATTATGATCTTCACATTTCCTCAGGTATACAATCTACTGTATTGCTACCATATGTATTTGGGAATTTTTAAAATTAATTTTCAAAGATCAGCATTCTCCATCTCTCGTTTTCAAAACATTTCGCATGCCATATGCTGTCCATTGGCTCTGTCATTACGAGCCACCATTAGAAGAGGCGGTAATACCGGTAGAGTCAGCTTTTCAAATAATTACCTAATATGTGTCATGCTTAAATGAAACCATCAACAGTTTGAGCTAACAGAAAAAAATTTCAATTGAAAATGTTCCAAAATAAAAGGCTTATTAGCACACAGTGTTGATTTTAAGTCCGTTTTTACCTTCATAGCGGTCATTCGACTGTTGTCGTCGTAAATAAGGACACGAAACCCTCAATTTAAGTTTTCACAACATCCAGAGTTACCGTAGAATTTATGAATGCTGTACATGTCCATCGAGGAATCTTCTGTAGACTTATATGTCAAGACATCAACTTGAGTAACCCACAGATGATTCTAACTTCTTCTCTTTTCGTAGTCGATTAAATATGCTTTACAAAGAGTAATTTGCACTTCGACCGTTTGTTTTGTCCTTTTATGACAGTTAGATATTTGAAGAACGCATCTTTATGTCCCTTCTACTCAAAACCCTTTC